ATGTATGTATGTATGTGTTGCTAGTTATTATATATTTTCACTCCTCAACCTTCGAATCTCAACCTTTTAATCGTTGTTTATTGTAAATGGACCCACACCAACAAATATTTCACATTGACCCTCACCCCTATTTACCATAAAAAGTCAGTCGCTAAAACTTTACTCAAGGCTGACTGTCTACCATCTCCAAAGGATGACTTCATTTCCTTTTTAACTACATTTAATTTAGTTCTTGAATCCAGGATAACAAAAAATTTCACTTTTGCTTGCTCTTTAGAGTCAAAATAGTGATAGTTTGTGATTAATAACATGAATGACCACTCCTTCCACATTTGTAAACCTCAGGCCCCTCAGGCATTAATGTGCAAGAAACATATTTATTTTTTGAAATATATATATATTTTTTAACACAGAATTGCTTGAAATGTGGAACAGTTTTTCACAAGTTTTGGGGAACTAACCTTGTAAAGGGAAGGTAGGTACCTTTTCAGAATGCTTACAAATTTCAAACTATTCCCCATGGACAACTCCTACCAACACTTACAGTTAATGACTGTAATACCGGGCAGTCTTATTGAAAACATAAATTTAACATATTTAATATGCTTTATATTAAATAACAGTACTTTTTTTTGTCTTCTCTTCTTTAAATTGAAAGGTCCCATTGCCGCACTTGTTGTGCAGCAGTATGCGTCACTTGTCATGTGTTAGCCAACAATGGTATAAAGGTAACTTCAGTTAAAAGCTTAATACCTTGGTTTATTTTACAGAATTGTTTTCATTCTAGTTTATGATCTGCTGCCTGAACAGGAAGTTGCAAAAATGAGTGTCAGCAGAAATTCCTGATTCATCAGTGGAATAAAACAACACTGCATTTCCCTTAAAAAATTACTCATGACAATTAGATCTGCACAAAAATGAACTTCAAAAATGGTTGCCATGCTACATGGTACTTATATTAATTAACTACATCATAGAACAACTAATACTTACAGTAAGCAAATTTGGTGGTTTCAAAAGGGTCGATTTATTGGTAGTTACTTGACCAAGTAGATAACAACACATTACATGGTAATATTGAGTTATTGTAAACTTGTTGTAGGTGTGTACAAGATGTCTTCTCAAACAAAAAGAGGATGAGATGAATACACAGAAAGCCCTCTCAGCTATTGAAGAGGCCAGAACAGAGAGAGGTGAGCCTCAATCTTATCATTTGCTAATAGATAGTAGATTTTTTCTATGCTGTAATTTTTGTTTTAAAATACACATTTTTTAATTGGGATTGATACTCTTGAGTTTCTGAAGAGCTTGCCAAGAAATTACTTACCCAAAGTCAGGTTTCCTTCCCTCCATGCAATCAGCTTTTTATGTAGGAATTTGTGTTGATTTTGATCCAGAACCCTTCCAATTAGTCTGTTTTTGTCTCACTTAATGGTGTGTTTGCAGATTATATTGCTGTTAAAATGATATAATCATTTTTCCATAGTTGACTCAGTGTCTTCAGTGAGATCAGAGACATTTGTAGTTGTGTCATCTGTGTCTCGTCTGTCCCCTGTGAAGAAGAAAGAGGCCCTGTTTGAGGCTGCCAAGACAGGTACAGTTTAGTAGATAATGAGTATTTTTTTCAAAACCTGTTTTTAACTCAATTCACTGGTAAAAAGTATTCTATTCATTAATGATTTTATTTTTCACATGTGCTGCCTTAAGATTGCAATTAGTGGAGGTTAACAAAACAGCATTCTGTTAGAACTACACTGTAGTTAAACTTCTTGGGATCATAATTTCCAAACTCCCTGTCACTTACCTCTCTTAATTTCCTGCTCCGAATTAATCTTCCCAAACCAACAACCTTGACAATGCTCAAGAGTTTTCACAACTGAAATGAATCAAAGCTGAAGTCCTGATTAAGTTCTAATTTGAAAAATAAATTTTTCATAGTGTTGAATATGTAAGATGATAATATGCATTAATTATGTTTTCTTTACTTAGGAGACCACTACTCAATGGTGACTCTTTTAAATGACAACGTTGATGTGAATATAAGAGGTATTAAGTTTCATTTCATTTATTTGTTTGGTGAGGCTTATTGTTATTTAAAATCCTAAATTTTATTAAATATTTTATTATATATTAAATACAGTCTTACGTAGTGTTCATTGTTTACGTGTAGATGTGGACAAGAACACCCCACTATTTTTTGCGGCTGAAGGTGGACATCTTCCTTGTGTGGCTTTGTTAATGGTAATTATTAAAAGCTGGAGCNTTTGTCTAATATCTTAGGAGCATTTTTTTTAATAAAACAATTATTCCACTCGCACTTGTTGGATATGAGATGATCATAGCCAACTCGGTGCTACGTGCCTCATTGGCTATCTATCATCTCATATCCATTGCGCGCTCGAGGAATAATTGTTAAATAGATATGATAGATATGTTGCCATTAAATTTTGATCTCAGATATTGAATAACGCTGCCCACTTGGTTGATTCTCAATTACCTCAGTCTTTGTTGAATGACCAATTGAATTGGCAATCATCCTATGTAAGACATTTTCACCAAAGACTTTACATGTAACAATTAATGAATAAAGCTTGGTTGCAAGAACTATGAAGACCAAGGTTTTCATTGAGTAATGAGACATTTGGCTGCACCATCTGACATAAACCAAGGCCAATTGATACCTCATACTATCATGGGAATATTGTATTCAATTATAAAATTCAATTCCACTGGATACTTGAATTGCAAGACTGTTAATTTTTTGGAAGAGTTAACCCCAAAATGCTGACACTTCCTTCAGTGAGATAAAAAAGGCTAACTCCTCCTTTCCCCTTAGTTACAACAGGACTACTGGTACATGCATCTTTATACACCCTCTTAGACTGTTGTATTTCAATTTCACTGACTTCCACTGGTGCAGCCAAATGTCTCATTACTCTATGAAAACCTTGGCCTTGATAGTTCTTGCAACCAAGTTTTATTCATTAATTGTTACATGTAAAGTCTTTGGTGAAAATGTCTTACATATGATGATTGACTGACTGACTTCCTTTGCATCACTTTTACAGGAACGGAATGCAGATGTGAAAGCCACAAACAGTGTAAGTTTACAATTGTCAAGTTATTATGATCAAGATGATTATTGCTTTTAGGGATTAAAATTATTTCATTACTATCAGGCAAAAGATTTTTAACTGTAGCATTTATTGTACTTCATCATCATTTTATGTTATTTAGTCATGTAAATTTATAATAAATTTAGTTTCAATTTAAACTAATTGTTTATTTCTACTAACATCTCTTTCCAGAAATCGTGGACCCCTCTTCATGCTTTAGCATGGTAGGTGACTTTGCCTTTGTCAATATTAAATGAAAAGACAAGCAATTAGCTTTTTTTTCGTTCACAGGGATTTAAAAAAGGTAGCTTGTTATCAATGAATTATGATGAATTTGGGTTCAACTTTTTCAAATCTAAAACATCTGGAAAAGTGCTTCAATCTGAAAACTAAGAATAAACAAGAATAGTAGGCCTAACAACTAAAATATATTATAGTTTGAGGGAAAGGGGAGTACACTGCAGAATTGTTGCCAATAAAAGCTTTCATGTCATGTTTTCATGTTGAAAACAAAAACCTTATTAAAATTAGCTTTCAACGCACTTTAAAACGCGCCTACTACAAAACTAGTTTTGTCCACAGACCTCTTCAGTTGTACAGTTGATACAACTGAAGAGGTCTGTGGACGAAACTAGTTTTGTAGTAGGCGTGTTTTAAAGTGCGTTGAGAGTTAATTTTAATGAGGTTTTTGTTTTCAATATGATGATGAATGATACTTTCTTAGCTTCGACAATCAAAATTTCGCAAAAATGTCATGTTTTTGGTTGGTTTTCCTCACTTAGGAAAGGTGCAAGTGATGGCCATGTCGAGTGTGGGGAGCTTCTTATTCAGGTACTGCAAAATTGAATTGGTCAGTTTGTAGCTGTAAATGAAGGAACAAGTCTTTATGTCTGTCATTCAGTCAATCTGCCAATCATTGATGAATTGATGACAATATTTGGAGCAAAACGTGTAATAATTTGAATTTTATCCACCTTTAGATGGGTGCTGCCATATTTGCTCTGACAGATACAGTGGAGACAGCTGCGGATCTTGCAGCTCGCTCTGGTGGCAAACAGGAGTTAGTACAGCTGTTGAGAGCTGTTGAAGGTAAGGGACACTCTATCCCGTATTACATACAGTAGATTGTTGCATGCGGTACGTCTCTGCAGATGCATAGAGATGAGCAATCAGTCACTGTTCAGCTGTTTGTGACTCGATTGAGGCCTTAACTGATCAAAAATGTCTCCAGTTGAACTCGGTAGATTCTAAATCCGCATCAGCTCTCATCGACATATTTTTCTTATTTTTCTGTTACAGCTAAAAATATGTTTTTAAATTTTTTCAGTTCATAAAGGAGAAAATCCTTGCTCTTCTGGTGGATGTTTGAAAGTTAGACTAGAATAGATGGCCGTTTATGTACCAAGCAACCTAACATTGTTTTGTTTTCTCGGTTTAATTTTTGTTTTTTCAGTTGATGTTGCAGTACAGACGTTACAAGAAAAGTTGCAAAATCCATCAGGTGCGTTCTCTAAAACGTACTTATTACATATTACAGGATTGTGAGCTGGTCTTCCTTTACCAATCACATAAAATCGAAGAGATGTATAAGAGCAGGGTGGCTACACTTATTGTAACTATGAAACAAAGCGAAATACCTTTTGACGATTTATGCCGCTTGAATGTTGTTCTTGCCTTCACATGTAGTGAAACGTTCCTTGTTAAAAATTTTCTTTCGGGCCTTTGAACAGGTTTTTCATTCAAGGATCCAATGTTGAAGCTTTACGTTGCAACCGTTTTGAGGCACATCACAGAAAACATTCCTCTGGACAGTTCGAAAAAAACATCAAAAGGTCAGTTACAAGTGCAGACAAATTAGTACTCAACCAGCTCGAGATCAAAACGAAATATCCAAATGAAATAGCGGATCTATAAATAAAGCGATTCTGCCTGAAATATCCATTATCAGATTAACTTATTTCCAAAAAGTTCTTGTTTGAGTTATTAAAATCTTTGTCACCTCCCTCCCCCTACCCCTTCCAATTGAGCGGTTTTTATTGACTTCTTACAAACCGTACGCAAAGGCCGTACAGGGGAATATTGGCCCGAGCGTGGCCAGGTCCGTAGAAAAACAACCAATGGTCAATCAAATAATCCCCAGTACGGCTCGAGCAAGTGAGATTAGCAAGTAGTTTATCATATGGCACTTTTTTATTTGGAAGTTTCCGGCTTTCGTGAATAAAAATACACGCCTTATGACCATTTCCGTGGAAATGTTCCGTATGGCAAAACCCCGACCAAGTAAGAACCAAGAGGAACGCTCGGATTATATGACCCCAAGACTTCATTGTCATGTAATAATGGTGGTTATTTTAATATCTTTCGTATTTTAAGAAATGTGTTTGTTATCGTGCTTATAATGCTAATTGAACATGTTGATGGTTTGATTCGCAGTTAATGAGGCGAAAAGTTCACGGTTCTTAAAGACGCCAGAACTCATGAAAAGGGAGGACTTCACAAAATCACTCGACAGAGTGAGCCACAACATTTGTGTTACGATTTTGTTTTACCAGGTTTCTCTTACTACTTGAAGGTATTTGAATTTTTGACGGATTAACTGAGGCTTAGCTATATTTTTGACAATTTCTCCTTCAATAGGGGCTTCGAAAACACAATTCTTGTGAAGAACTACGTCCCGAAACTAATGGTGAGTCACACCCAGATAGCCATTGGACAAATATTTTTTAATAAATGTTAGCAGTGATAGGTTTTTCTGGAGACACCGAGATGACCATAAGAGTGTATCTTTGAAGTAAAAGCAAAATTAAACCGCCTCTTGGTTTGTTGATTTACAGTCTTACCTCAATTAATTAAATGTCCTCTTGCTTTTTATCTTGTCTCAGGGACTTGGAGTTTTGGAATTAGTTCTCCGTCGTGTAACATTCCAAGAGCTGATGTTGAGCCAATCATCAGATCAGATTTGTTGCCTTCTGTGACGGCCAACCCAACAAAGCTTGAGGTTAAAATGCATGCAACTCAAAGAGCAGATATAGAGGTCGATTAAAGTTGATAAAACGCGTTAAATAGGTGTTTCAAGTTTTATATTGTACTTTCGGTGATTGAAGTCTTGAGAGCGCACTTTGGAAACGATTCCATTTGGTGTTTGTAGGAAAGGTTGATAAAATGTCAGGCTGAGAAAGACGATGCTGAACAGCGCTGTAAGAGGCTGATGCAGTCCATAGCTAGTGCTGCTGAGGTATGAAGCTGTTTTTTTAAAATTTTTTTAAATTTTTTTATCCAGCACAATGTGCATGTTGTGGGCGCCAAGCCTAGGAAAAATACAGCCATTAACGCGTTGAAATACGTAGGAAAACACATAACAGCTGCCAACCGCTGCTTAATATGGGAAGATAGGCAGCCTTTCAAGCGCGGGAAAATACTTCTCCGATTGGATAGTTACGGGGTTTCCGCATTCTGATTGGTTGAAACATGCTGCAGCCGTTGTCGAAAGCAGGTTACTTTGGATACTAAAGATTAGCTTTTCTTGCTCCAAGTAAGCTTAGAGGTAACCAACAAAGGGAATGATTTAACATGATTTGTTAGTTTCCTCTGTTTGTGCCGTCCAAGCCTTGCTACGGGGATAACCTTATGCTTGCTAGGATTGTTGAAGCCAGAATTGCTTCTTGCTTTTGGTCTACCAGTAATCAAATTTTTATGAATGATTCAGGCTCACGAAAAGGAGGTGACAAGATTACAGCAGGAGATAGACATTGCACGAGAACAAAAGGAGATCGCCTTGAAACGGGTAAGGAATTATTCTGCTTTTTGCACACTACTGGCAATACGCAATGCGAGTGTCACAAATTTCAGTAAATAACGCGACGCAAGAGAACATAAACTCAGTTGATATTATCTAGTTTGATGGCATTTGGCTTGTTTACATCTCAATGCTCAACATTTTTAATTTTGTCTTTTTGAATGCGTGTTATCAAAATAGGCCTCATTTTCCCTAATTCTTGTCTGTCTGGTTTCTATCTACCATTGTTTCCTTCCGATTGACGATCATTTTCAAAAACCCCAAGAACAGTTCATATCACCCTGACGTAGATCCCTTAGGCCTTGACTGGGACTTTACCTTTACTTGAAGCCTTTTATTTCAACAGTGCGAAGCTACCTATGTTAACAAAATGGCTAAAATCAGACAAGAAACAGAATCGGCTATTCAAGAGGTTAGTTGCTGCGCCTGCATTCTTAACCTCTGTGATACAGTACTTATTCTATAATGCTGCAGGATGTGTTTTTGGAACGCCTGGTTATTGTACTCCATTGTCTTGGTCCCTAGATTAGCGGTATCTAACCTGACCCTTTTTTAAACCGATCGATTATTTAACTCATTAATTGATTTATCTTTGTATATTCAAGGCCAGCGCGCGGCTTGAACAAGCAGAGAAGGACCGGGCCGAGGTGCTTCATATGCAAAACAATTTCAGGTTAACGTGGGTCCCGGATGAGGTGAGGATAAATTTTTCAAACCAACAACAGTTTATCTCGGATTGAGTTTTATCTAGACCAGCCTTTTCTTTTCTTCTTTTTGACTGCAGCTTGTTAATTACTGTTCTAACAGCAAGTGTCGAGCCCCTTTCACACAGGTGAGTTTAATGTGATAAATCGTGCACCTATATTTTTCTTGATCGCGTGGTGATCAGAAGAAACAAGGACTCAAGGAACGAGAATGGTAGCTGCTTAGCGTCGTTCGCATATGTGAAATAACTACCTTTGGAACCTTCATCCATGTTATACACTCGTGACCAAATACAAAGGTTAAAGGTTTGGAGCAGTTTTCCTCAGTTTCGAACAAAGTTTGCGTCCCTCGACATAGGGGTGTCGGAAAAAAGAGGTGTCTGTTTTTTCTGTGTTTGGTATTGAACTGAAAGTACTTGTAGCGTTTTTTCTAAGGATCGTCTTTGAAATTTTATAAAATATGATTCAAAGAAAATAGTCAAAACAATCAAGCGCAAGCGTTACGAATACCAATGTTTATTAATAATTTTTCACTATAACTTAAATTGTCATTTAGGATGGAGAGGGCAGCTAATGGGCTGGCGTGGATTCTCAAAATAAAAGGAATCAAATAAAGAAGCCTGAACTTACATGTAACTTTGCTCTTATTCCATAGACAAGAAGACGTCATCATTGTCGATGCTGTGGCCGAGTATTCTGTCACAACTGCACAGATCAATCAACACCGTGAGTTTGACATTGCTCTCATTTACTTTAACAAGAAAATCTAACATCACTGCCCCCCCACCCCACTCCCCCTCCCCTGTCACCTTTGCGGATTTCTTAGCTGTACCTGGTCTTCTAACGTTTTTTTCTGGTATTTATCTAAACAAAGAAACAAACAAACAGCGGTAACAAAAAAAAAAAAAGAAAACTGCCTACTTTGTACGCTATGAGGGCTTGGTTGAGACAGGAGTTGTCACCTCAGTTAGCCAATCAAATTACAAGGTTATGCTATGATAGAGTGTAAAGCTGTTTGCAGAGAGGTTGTCGGAAAATGGACAAACTGCACGCGACAATCTTGAGGGGATAAATACCGAGAGGGACAAAACAGTAGAATATTATGCTGTAAATATTTTTCCGCTTAGTTTTTACTTCGAAAGTTACATCGTCTTCATTTTGGTCAGGTCAGGACGCTGTAACCGCGGGTAACCTGCTACTGGTACTATGTAACCCAGTACAACCTGTCGCATAGTCGAGTCGTCGGTGACTAAACCGACAAACCCCCCAGGCTTGCCTGAGGAGGAGGGTGTGTGGACACCCAGTCAGGATTAAAAACAAGACCTTCAAAGGGCGGATGAGCTCCTCGCAAGCCAACGGCCATCCACTGCAGCAGAACTTGTCCTCCATTCGTCGAGGTATCCTTGCCATTGGAACCAGGACATGTGATGTCAAGCACTGTGGGAACTTTGCCGTGCAAGTTTGTACTCACGTTAAAAATTCACGCACAGCCTCCACTTGGCCAAAAGTCCTACGGCGACTGGTAAGCGGCGACGGGGGCAGGATTGTGAAGTCTGGCAGCCTTCAGTTGTGAACCAGCACGTAGGCGGTGGGGGTCAAGTTACAGTCGCTCTGCTCTTGGAGTTGGGAACAGAAGAGTAGTTCGGTAGTCGCCCCCATGTCTGAGCAGTCCTCTTTAGGAGCCNTGGATGCCCAGAGAAATACATCAGAATGATCCGTCTGCTGCATGACAACATGTCTGCATCAGTACTTATTGATGGCGAGTCTACCGAAAGTTTTGTAGTGAAGACTGGTGTCAAGCAGGGCTGTGTCATAGCCCCAACACTCTTCTCGATTTTCATCTCCGCCGTGCTACACCTGGTGTCGGAGAAATTACCTCGTGGTATAGATATGCAGTTTAGGATGGATGGCAAGCTGTTCAACTTACGGCGACTGAAGGCTAAGACATTAACCACTCACATGGCTATACTCGAGCTCCAATATGCTGACGACAACGCCCTAGTGACCCACACAGAAGAAGACCTTCAAGTGGCTGTGGATGCCTTCAGTTATGCCTATGATGCGCTTGGCCTCACACTTAATGCTCGGAAGACACAAGTTCTTTTCCAACCATCACCTGATCACACACTTGAGCGAAAACAACCAGAGATCACAGTTGGAGACACACGCCTTAGCTCTGTTGATCATTTCTCGTATCTTGGTAGTTGCCTGTCATGCAAGGCAGATTTGGATGTTGAAACCCAAGTTCGTCTAAAATCAGCTAGTGCTGCCTTCGGTAGCCTCAGAGACAGGGTGTTTGATAATAGAAACCTCTACACCAACACCAAAATAAAGGTTTACAAAGCCGTAATATTGCCAACCCTGCTGTATGGCTCAGAAGCTTGGACAACCTATAGCCGTCATCTCAAAAGTCTTGAGAGGTATCATCAGCGTTGCCTTCGCCGTATCCTCAACATCAAGTGGCAAGACAGACGAACAAACAGCAGTGTTTTGGAAGAGGCTAATGTCACAAGTATTGAGTCCTATATTATCAAGAACCAACTTCGCTGGGCTGGTCACCTTGTCCGTATGCCTTCATCCAGGCTCCCAAAGAAGATTCTGTATGGTGAACTGTCCAATGGAAGACGTAACCAGGGGGGGCAACGAAAACGCTTTAAGGATAGCCTTAAACACAACCTGAAGCAGTGCGGTATCAACCCCGAGAACTGGGAACAATTGGCCAATGACCGGCCTAGCTGGAGAAGTGCTATCCACACTGGTGTGGCGCACAGTGAGCAACGGAGGAGGGAGCACTGTGAGAGTCTCCACTCGGCGAGAAAAGAGAGACAACAAAATGCCAGCGTAGTTCCAACCTCCACTGACTTCAGATGTCCAGTCTGTCAGTGAATTTGCTCTTCCCGAATCGGACTGTATAGTCATCAGCGAACTCACGTAAACCAATTTGATTTAATTTAATTTAATCACTGCCAAGTAGACATCTTACTCGTTACGAGGGATTGCCAACACACACACACACACACCGTCTTCATCGTTCATTAGGGTTAGTACGTTCTTTTCGTTTTTCATTAAGCTTACAAAATATATTCATCAAACTCGCTATGCTTAGGCCTCCTTCTTTACAGTGATGTTTTCTCAGATTTCCCTAGAATCCTGAAAACAAACCACAATGCCTTAAGGGGTTGTCGCGTGCACTTTTGTTTTTCCGACATTTCTGCAAAAGGCCTACTCTGGGCGATTTTAAGGCGACTGAAGCAAAATTGGCAGAAAAATCATTGCGATTAGGCGATTTAAGGCGACTTAAAGCGAGTTTATTTGACTGAAGTGATAAAATCAAAGTTGGCAACAGTCTCTCCATAACCCTTAAAAATGTTTACAGAATCCCTTGCAATAAACGGAATAGACATTTTAGAAGGGTGGAACCCTTATAACATTGCGTAACCAATAGCGACTTAAGGCAACTTAAGGTCCCAGAGAAGGCCTTGCAAACAGCTGTATACATACTCTGTTCTTGCTGGCAATCATTGACCTGGTTCATTTTCAAGAGGTTTGTTTTTCTTTTATCTTTCAGAATTCCAGCCTTTGGATACGTACAGCTTGTCCGAGTGTGTAATCCTTGCTTCGCTTTGATAGACGATATGTTCTGTGAAGAACCTGTTGTTTTTACCGACATAACATGACAGATGTTGTCGGCGGGAGAGCACGGTAGTGACGACATATGTACCGTGGGAAAACTGGTGTCTTGTCTGGCCATAACCATGAAGTTCGCATCAATCAAAATGATTAAGACAGCTTCTTACCGTACCCATACGAAACGTTTCTCAATTGTGACCTTACTGAGTGTTAACAGTATGATTGCTAGTACGGATCTCCAAAAGATATATGCGTTGTACCTAAAGAGTTACTTTACAGTAAGGATCGGTGGATCTAAAGAATTCATTTAATATATGTCACTTAGAGATGGAGTTATTGTCAAATTCCCAGCCGATTCAGTTGTAAATAGATATCGAGATACTGAGGCGTACGCATCTTACTGAAACTGTCGCAAAATCCGTGTTACATAATTTATTGCAAAATTTACGAGGTGACTTATGACTGGATTGATAATTATTATATTTTTTGAATTCTGAATTTGATTGGTTTGCAGCCAATCCCATTAGACCATATCGCATTAATAAAGTATTTGACAAGGGTGTGGGTTTTCACAATAGCTGTCCGTGTAGCTCAAGGCTGTCTTCAGTCGTACTCCCAATTGGAGATATTTACGTGAATTTGATCAAATGCCCGTACGGACCTGCGCATGCTCTTATCGAAAAACATGAAACATCCCTGTATTATGGGCCGTGCTCGATGAAACTGAACAAGGCTAGAAAAAGCCGTAAGGTTTTCCGAGGTGAGAGCTCTCTGAAAGAGGAAAATAAGAAAGAGGTGAAGCGATGGTCATAGAATAAAAAGCTTATTGACAGACATAGGACGTGAAATATTTGGTTCTCGGCCGTGACCTATCGACTGCAATCCATGCCTCATTTTTACCCCGTCTAGCTCCCAGTCACTAAGTAGTTAATATGTAAAAGAGTCTTTCGATTGATGTCGTAATTCTCAAACGCAATTGTAATCGAAGTCCTCACTCAACACACTGGTTCACACTGTATTTATTGGTGTATTATCTTTTTTCTGTTGGAGAACAAAGCCTCATTTTAGGCTAAAGCCAGGGTGATGCCGCTCCGTTTCTCGACTCTGTGTTTAAGGATTAACTTAACGTTCACAAAGACACTCGGACCTGGATTCAAAGAAGTCGAGTAACTCTTCCTTACAAGTTGTGCACTCTTCCACTCTAACATACAGCGCGCAATGAAAACCGAAAAAAGGGCAGGAATAATTGCGGTAAGAGCGCGAGTGTTCCCAAAGTATGGATTTTGCGGAACACGATGGTACCTTACTCTCGACCGCGCGGTCGATTCTGCCCGTGACCTACATCGGTGACGGCCTAGGACTGGTTTACAGCTGAACAGAAACAAGAATATGGCGGGATCGACAAAAAAATGGCGGAAACAAAGAAATCATCGACGGTCATCTCTAGGTTAGATCGCTGGCTATGGATAATTCTTCATTCGTGATAAATGTCTTTTTCTGAGGTTAGTCTTCATCCCAGTTAGGGTTATCTTTTGGTTTCGGTCCTCCGGCTGGTTTTGACATAATTATCTGGTTTAAAAAAAAAAAAAAAGACGAATAAAATAATAAATAACAAACGCAGTAATAGGATGAATTATTTCGAATAGGATTTTATCGTTTATATGCGCCAACTAAGCCTACTGGATTTATAGCGAGTCCGCCATTTGGCGTTTTAATTGGGTAGATTTCCACATTTTCTGGGGTTCAGTCTTCAGTCTTCGTCTGAAGATCATGGTTAGTCACCAAAACCATCCTTACAAATCGCGTTATGACGAGTTGAAGTTTACATGTATCACTAAGATATCTCTTCGGCTCGATCGACATGCCCTCTAGGCGATCAGATGATGACGAAATACATGAGTTAGGGTTCGCTCAACTTCTCATTGTCTAACAAAGGAGGTTGCCTGGTTTTACTTCAATCCCTTCTTGTTACGCTACTATGGGTATAAATATGTTTAGGACCACTAAATGTGAGTACACAGGATGCAAAGAGTATAACGTGATGTGTTTGATACCTGGTCAACTCTAAGCACTGTCACGGCTGCATCTGTGGCAAACTTAAGCGCCCAATACTTCACAAGATACAAGTCGAGAATTCCGGCTTTCACTGCATCTTTAATTGCCGCACCTCCACTCTGAAGAAAAACGATACCGATGAATGAACAACAAATAACAGGCATATGGAAAACAAGTAACACCCAAAGCAAAAGCATTGTGTCGAACAAGAGTAGAATGTGCCAGCAATAAATGAAGGGCTTTCCGACTCCCGAAAGATATCAACTACCCACACCACAGTTTGCACAGCTAAAAAAAATTGAGTCTGAATGTTTCACAATCGTCATTTGCAGCCTATATTAAACTCCTTCATCCTTAAGCCTTTAAACTCCCAAGAGTGACCAGCATCTAATTTCTCCTTACAGCAATACCACTTGATCATTAATTAAGTTCATAAGAATAAACGAAATGATCGCCAACTTAACAATCTCTGATTCAGTTGTTCCACAAGGAGGATGTGGATACCGATATAGGGCCTAGGGCCGAAGCTGTTTTAAAATCAAAATATAAAGTATAGGAAAACAAGTTCTGGCACCCAAACCAGTACTATTTTTGTTTCTTTAGCTGATAGTTTTATTGTATCATTTTCAAAAATTTTGAAATCCCCAATCTTGAATGAAAACGGAACAGCTTTTCAGGCCCGTTAAGTTACCGGGACTTTCGAGAAACAGGGCCCTAGTCCCGAACCCAGACCTTCTGGACCAGAAACCAGGGCGATAACCGTACCTCGTTATCAAATCCCGCATTCTTGTCCCCAGCCTGATGGGCTGCGTACAGTTTGGAAATCACCTCCGTGGCTTTGACCCCGGCATTTTCGGCGAGGGTCCTCGGAATGATCTCCAACGATTCGGCAAATCTTTTAATGGCGTACTGCTCTAGGCCTGCACAGGTCTGTGTGAAAATAATTAAGTGCAGTGAACAAAAGAAGCCAAAAATTACCGCGGTACAAGTACTTTTCTTCACCTACATCTTAAGATGGCGGTCTTCCTTTTCTGGTGATCTTACGGTAGATCTAAGACAGACAGACTGACTAATACAGTCAGACAGATAGAGAGCCAGACAGACACACAGACAGACGCGGACAGATAGACCAACAGACAGACAAACAATGTTTATCTACCTGTATCAAAAACAAAATGAGTAAAGCGAGAACAACGAAGAAGTAAGTTAAACTGCCAGTTACTAACATTTAATAAATCAACATTTTTTGGCGCCTATGCCAGAAAGTTTATTTTGGTTCCAAAATTTAGTTTTTACACGTAAACCAGAAACCGTTGAATCGACGAAAAAGACCGACAACTTTACACTATCTTTTTCAAAAAACACGCGAGAAAATAAAATGCATACACTTGGAGGACACTTTGCCTTCGTTCTCAACATACCTCTCCAAAGCTGGATATCTGTTTAGCGAGTTCTATTTCAGTAGCACCAGCTCCAGGTACAAAGCGATCATCCCGAGTGAGTGCTTTGAATGTGTTCACACCATCGTCAACAGCCCGCTCAATGTCATCCATGATGTTTTCAGTTGAACCGCGAATAACTACAGTAGACACAGCTGTCTCTTCGCGTTCTAATGCAGCACCAAATAAATAAAGTGAAAAAAAAAAAAAAAATTTATCCTTTTGACCTCCTCGCATCTTATTTTTCCTTCAATGTCACCCTTGGATCAAACATATAGCTCACGATAATAAAGGACATGGTCAACAACTAAGCCCTTGATTGTTTAACACATTCTCGTTGTCAGTACCTTAGGAACTGTATATAGAACAGAAGCGAGAGTGTGCATACTAATGGGGAGAGCGGTAAGGGTTAAAAGATCGTATTAGGATATCGCGCTGATTTTAGCTGCAAGAGTTTTGAAGAAAGTGAACCGAGAATTGTTGGACTGGTACTTAAAACCTAAATAACTTCTCAATCAGCTCACCACGCCCATTACACTTTACCTTGTTTGAAGATCGTGACAGAGGTACCACCTATCTCTGACACCTTGATTTCGTCGCAGTAACCGATCTCCTCTGACGTTGGGGTAGTCTAAGGGGAAAAAGAGTAAACACTTAAATAAACAAAGTTAAAATGATAGATTTCAAACCTTTTCATTCAAGTACCGACTTGGCTAAAAATTTATTCTGGAAGAAGTGAAAAACAGTTTCTCAGAGATGACTATTGGTTATCTATCGACCGACTGCCCGCCATTTGTCGGCCTACTGTTAGCAGACAGAGTTTAACCCAAGCATGGGCCAGCTGTCGGTCAACTTTCGGTTAGGCGTCGGTTATCCTTTGGTAGGTTTTCGGAAAAGAGTAAAACTTTCCGTTGGAAATATTATCAGTGATTGCTTTAGAACTGTATCCAAGTTGTTCGGGGTGATGTCCATGCTGGATGACATTCTTACCTGATGCAGATGGCCAACTGGCATACACTAGATGCAAGATTACCCCCCCCCCCC